TGACCAACAAATAAATTGTGACTTATAAATTTTTTAATTTGTGATCGCGAAATGATCTTTGACTAATAAATATGTTGTGATATATAAAATCTGGAAATTGAATTGCCGATAGTTAATGCCTGAATTGTAGGGTACAATCCGATGATGTTGGGCCAAGACAGCTGAAATCCAGCACTCAATTTAATCATTCTATTGAATCTATTGTAGATTTTCAAGATCAAAAAGTCAAAACATTACATGGCCCCAATATGCAATAAAAATTACCCAATGAACAGAAAAACTAAATACATCTTACATGCACAACAGATATTTAACTATAGCAATGATTTTTTATTTTTATATTATTAATGTCCAGTAGAAAAAATATTTACAAAACTCGGTATGCGAATAGGCTGCGACAGGATGAACGCAAACTAAGAACCAAAAATATATATTTATACAGTAACATTCCAAAAATTATCTTCTGCTAAACCAGTATACCTTTTTTATGAGATAAAATAGAACATCATCATTCACCATTTCCTTTGTTGCCAGTTGCTATGGGATGCGAAGAAGCAGTATCAAGAGTAGACCGAGGTTCCTGCAGGGTGTGAAACGGCTAATAAATGAATTATTTGCCCTCTCCAAAAAGATTAAAGAAATTTAGCCCATCTTTTGGCTAATGTTTACAAACAGCTAAATCAACATTTTATCCACAAATTTCGTGGGACGAACAAGTACTACCCACTTATTTACCACTAATTTTCATTTATTTATAATTTTTCTATTGTATAAGAAAACAAACTAAGGAAATGAAGCTCACCACACGGTAAGAAAGTTCATCAGCCTCAAGCATATGAACAATTTGCCCCATCTTTGGACGCTTGCTTGCATCTAAATCTATACAGCGAAAGCAAACCAGAATTACTCTCTTCAAACTTCTGGGAGGAGGAGGAATTTCAATGAGGGGGTCGACCAGCTCTTCACCACGATGACTTGCTGCCATTCCTTTGAACCAATCAACCAAATTCACCTGGATTTAGTAAACAGAGCTAGGATATGTAAATATATTGTTATTAATATGAGTACATACTTAAGGGGAAGAAATTGTTCACCTCCCCGGGTGGTCTGGAATAGTCGACTGGGCTCCTTCCAGTAATTATTTCCATGAGAAGAACTCCAAAACTATACACATCATTCCTCTCATTAAGCATACCAGTACATGCATAGTCAGGGGAGACATATCTGTAGCAACATGCATAGTTAACTATAAGCAAATAAAATTGTGTTACCATCTTTCAAGCTGACTGCTGCTTAATGGAAAATCAAACTGTCAAAGTCAGAAAGGAACAAACCCAAACGTTCCCATCACTCGTGTTGTAACATGGCTTTTCTCGGATCCCAGCAGCTTGGCTAGTCCAAAGTCAGATACTTTTGGATTCCATTTCCTATCTACAAGAATGTTGCTAGACTTCACATCACGATGCACAACTTTGGGCTCCAATCCTTCATGCAAGTATGCCAGTCTGTGACAAAATTTACCAACTCACTTGTTATAGAAAATTGGAAGATAAGAACATACAAGAAATATGTGTGTAAAATTTGACCATTGGACTTCCAGGGAATCTTTCCAATATAAACATTGTGGTAAAAATATATGCCGCGAGACATAAATATCTCACCCTCTTGCTGTCCCAATGGCAATTTTCATCCTGATCTCCCAAGTCAAAGGGCTAACAGGCCCCACAATACCATGTAACCACTGCTCCAAATTGCCATTATCAATGTACTCATAAACTAGCAACCTAAATGGAAGGAAAGAAAACGTAGTTATTATTTTAGGAAAAGACAGCGATATCTACATAACAGAGAGAAATTCAACGGCTGGTCACATGTACCTTTGAGCACCTTCTGCACAATAACCCATCAGGCCCACGAGGTTCTTGTGTCTTACCTTTCCAATGGCTTCAACTTCCACCTTAAACTCCTTCTCTGCCTGACCCCTATCAACAAGTGATTCACTAAGCATCAAATTGAACAGAGTTTGTTTCGATGTACAAAGAGCTTGGGACTTCTTTTGAAGTTCAGTAGAAACTTGAAGTCATAGTCGCTGCATATTTTTATGACTCAATCAATTCAACATTTTGCTAAGCTCATCAATTGATAGGGTGGTTGGTAGAAATGCCATTTTCAAAAAGAAGAAAACGAAGAAATGTTTGACGTGGAGTTCATGTTTTAGAATCAATTTCTTCCATTTCAAGGAACTCATTCATATATGATATTCTCTTTGAAAAGTTTATCTGGAATATGAAGCAACCACTAATGCAAACTTCTACATGACCAAAAACAGCAATTGCATCCCTGTTCTGATATTTGTTGACACATAACTCTCCAACACTAAACAGATCTATATCCGTTTCTTCTCATTTTATACAACATTATTAGCACCGTCACTCTTGAATTTTGCAAATCGTCAAATTCAAAATTAGGTGCCAGAAAATATATACTTAATTATCATCCATCAAGAACATATCGTCCATCCCACCCAATATTTTCTGGAGCAAGCCAAATCCTGGCCCCAAAAGACAATATTTTCCATCAATAAATAGTTGTTCCTTAAAAGTATTCTATAGAAGCCAAATATCATTCACCTAAACCAGCATAAAGTCTTAACTGCTACGAGAAAATTAACAAAGGAAGAAGGATGGAAACAGAGGTTTTTAACCAGAAAAGGGCGGAAACAAAAGTTATACAAGACAAAATAAACCAACAAGAAGGAATAATAAAGAAACAAAAAGAAGAGTTTTACATTGTTTTTCTTATAGTCAAAAGAGACAAAAAGTTCACGGGCACACTCAATTCCTTCCAATCCAGATCTACTTGGCTTTGATTCGCTTTCTGTACAAACAAAAGAATCCCAACCAAACACACATGCAGTAACTACACTTTCTTACTTCGATTATATAAAATCAAAGAAAGAATTAACCAACATTGAAAACAAAAAAATAATCCATAAAATTATGTTTACAACTTTTGCGATGAAGGTAATATGATAAACTTACTTGTTGTTCAGGAGATTTTTCACGGCAACAACAGAGCCATCGTGCAAAACACCTCTGTAAACGATGCCGTAGCCTCCTTCACCAATCACATTATCATTCGAAAATCGATTTGTTGCGATTTCCAGGTCCTTCAAACTGTACCGTCGGCCCCACCCAATGTTACCCAACCCGTCGGTGGACGCAGACATAGCAGAGGACGATTCGCTCCGGGTAGTACTCGACCCATTGCTCTCGGAACTTCCCTTTTTGCCCTTAGACTCGATTACAACATCTTTTACCACATTTGGTATAATAAACGCTTTGTTTTTTACGCCGACTATATTTATTTCAGCGTGATCCGAGGTTTTGATTTCCGTGATCTTATTACATACCGGAGGCAGTAAACCTGAACCGTGTTTCTCACCAACGCCGCGTCGTTTAGAGTTCCGATTCCAACGGAGGAAGAGGAAAATGAAGAAGAAAATGGAAATCATAATGACGACAGTCGCGATTATGACGATGTAGAGTTTCTGTCCAAGAATTGGGGTTTTGGAGGTGAAAAAGGTGAAAGACGAGTTTCCGGAGGTCTGATTCTCGCCTGAAAACTTGCCGGAAACCGCCATTATTCCGGCGGGTTTATGGAGCGCCATCAGTGTGTGTAGTGTGTGAAAAAAAGAGACTACAGCATTTGAAAATAACGGTAAAACTGGTGAAATTTGGAAAAATGTGGCCTTCGGAGGTTTTAGGCTTCTAGCAGTGGAGACTGGACTGAAGAGTGGGCACTCAACGGATAGTTTAGACTAGAAGCGTGTGTTTTGTATAATTTGGCTAGTTTTTAGAAATATTACGAAAGGCCCAGTCAAGTCCGAGGAGGAAAAATTAAACAAAATACAAAATTTCAATTACTGCGGCCTAATTTAAAAATGACAAAATCTCAATAATTATTGCTTGATTTAAAAATTAACAAAATGTTCTTATACACACTTCTATCATTTTAAAAGTACTCATAAATTTTCTGTTTATGCGTCAAATATTCAGTGTCTTTTGCTGCTATAGAACAACAATCTCTGTCTCGCACATTCGATCCCATTTTTACATGACATCCCTGTTTGTTTACAATTTTTTACCTCATTTTAATACCTTTTTCAACCATTGCAAATGTGACAGTCATTTTTTTGGACTTTCTATCTCACAATGGGACCCGTGTGTTGGAAAAAAAGGGTCACAAAATTAATTCTTCTTGACAAATAATGGGAAACAAACGAGTTCAACATTGAACTTTCATGAAAAAGATTTTCCACCACAGATAGAATACGACATAATTATAGAACTATTGCATACACCTGAAAAGGACAATGCAAGATCCATCAATTAATTCCAGAAAACGAAAGCTTACACTTGAATTCACGAGATGCATTTAAATCAGGCAAAGGGAATACAAGGAAAATTGACATTAAAATATCACCAAAATTGACAAAAGTCATAGAATAATTGAGACTAATCGTTCACCAACTACAAATTGCTTGCAATCAACTTAATTAGTACATTTTGCCCTGCAATCAAAGATGACGTATAAGCTACATTGGATTAGGCCCCTGATTGACAGTCATACTTTTTTTTTTTTTTTTCCAAACAAAAAAAGAGTTTTAGATAGTAATTTTTAAAAGAATGTGTGATTAAAAAGTTAGAATTACGTTCAAAATATTTGATTGTGTGAATGAACGGTTGAAAACAAATATATAGAAAAAAAAAGTTTGAAAAGTATGATTGTCAAACAATGGCTAGTTTGGATTAAATAGAATCGAAGAAAGATGAATATAAATTGTTTTATATATATATATATATACTAGGTGCAAGCAACGTGCAATGCACGTTTGCTTAGTTTATATTTAATATTTTTGTTTAATAATTAATTTATTATTACTAAAGATGTAATTTTTTTTGTTAATTAAGGACGTGTCTGGGTGCGCTGGAAGGAGGAAGGAAAATTGATTCTGTTACCTTTTTTTTTTTTCAAACCTACAGCCCTACAGTGAGAGAATTGGTCCAAAATTGCGGCTCCCAAAAGCATGAATTGTGTTGCCAACGACTTTATTTCTGCTGAAAATGAGAAACAGACATTCTATAAATAATTAATAATGTAATGTTTATGTAAGTGATAAATAATTAGATGTGTGATTTTGATATTGTGATATAGGTTGGTGAGATTGAAGAAAATAAGCAAAAGTAGACAAATTTGGA